AATCATCTCAATTTTTATTAATATTAATTTTATAATAATAATTATTATTATATGGATTTTTATTTTACAATATAATAAATATGCATAAAAATATCACAATTTTTATACAATTTCAGATTTTTTTCCCATTTATATATATAAAGTTCTTTATGTAATATACAGAAAAGAACTAAAATTATATTTGACTCACATGGCCCTGTTTACAAAAATTATATAAGATCATGAACAAATTTTACCATAATGAATACAATCAAATTATTTTAAAATGAAATTCCAACATTTTTCCCTCTCTTAAAACTGAAAAAAGTTTAAAGAGAATTTAAAAGAATTTATAACTTGCCATAAATTGAAGTTACAATAAGTTTTTGAGTTATTTATATCAAGCAATATCAATAAAATAATTAGTGTTTATGTATATTAAATAAATAACTACAAATCTTTTTATATTACGTCCAACTTACCTGAAAGAAAAATATAAATTTTGTATATTTACCAAATTCAAATACAAAAATTTGAATTTGCTTCTACATTTTATATTATTGTATATAATTCAAAAATACATTTTAATTGATATAAATTATTAGATTGTCATCAAAGTCATCTCACAGCATAAAAATTCTTAATTATTCACATTCTTCTTATTATTTTTAGGTGTGTATGTGTGTGTGTGTGTTTTTATTGATGAAAATCTGGAGGTTTTTGTATTGGAAAAATTTTTTTTTTCAAATTTCTTTATTTTTTATGTTGACAACAAATATTGTAACATCAATCCACAGAAAAATTTATTTGAAAATGGAAAAATATTTTAAAATAATTTTTCTTTCATCATTACTTTGTTTGGACATTATTGATCTAGAATGTTATCTGGAAAATGTATAAAATACACAAGAATATTTCTTTGAGAAAAAAGGAAAATTATATTTGCAGATTCTGCTATTGATAAAGGGGAAAAATTCATAATTTTTCTAGTTAACAATTTTGTAAATTCTTTAATTTACGAAATTAAAGTGTGTACAAAACTGTCAACTAGTATTATTATATCAATTACTTCAATTTATAGTAATTATTTTTATATTTAAATTTTAATAATAACTTAAAAAAATTATTAAAATCTGAAATATTTGTTAACCACATTCAAGAATAAAAATGATTATTGATTGCAGTTTGAAAATGTAATCATAAAATTAACTCATAAGTTAAGTTATTACTGAATATGAAATATAACTAAAAAAAATATTATTAATAAATTATTTAAATAGAATTTTTACTTATATACAATTTCAGATTTATAATCATACAATTTTCAAATGACGACGACCATAAATGCAATGAATTTCCAAAATATAAATTTTCACAAGATTTATTTACTGTAATACCTTTTGTTATTAGAAGAGTTTATCACAAAATTCATATTCACAACAAGTAAAACCAGTGTTGTGAAAAATGTTTTTCTTTCTTTTCATTTTATTTTTCAATATTCAGCTCTATTATCAACTCGCACTTACTTGGTTGCGCATTGGTATTTTGTCACCTGTATCTCGAGAGTGTAAGTCTTCAGCCAGAAGGAGTGGCTCGCCGCCGATCTGCTGTTCTTGATTTAATGGACGAATTGGTACCGGAAGTTTGGAATATGGAAGCGTAACGGTTATCCTCCAGAGTACTAGCACAAATATGACAGACCACGTTGTTGTAAATCCCAATAAAAATGCCATTAATCCGTAAGAGTAGTAGTAGCCGACAGCACACAGTATTTGCCAAATAATAAATACAATCATGGACACGTTTTGACATATATACATTGAAATTGCACATTTCGTTTTATGAATATTTAAAAGAACTTGATATCGATTATATAGGCAATGAGTCAAGAGTAGGACAACAGGTATGTAAAATGTCAGCATCTGTTAATAAAAAAACAATTCTCTTTAGTATATTATAAATTAATTTTTGTAAATATGAAATAAAATGATTTTAAATATTCAGCTACTATACTTAAGAAATGCAAATGTATGACTGAAATATATAAATTCATATAATACAAATAAAAATTGAAGTTTAGGCCAAACAAATAACCAAATGTACTGTACATACATATTTGGTTATATGCTTGGTTTAAATTTTAGCTTTTATTTATATCATATACAGTAGTATCTACTCATTGTAATCATGGATATCGTTACCAGTCATTTATTATTATTAGAATTGGTGTATCCAAAAATGCAAATTAAAATGTACTTATAAAATTTTGCTTAAATTGAAATTAAAGTTTTTTTATAGTTAGCATTACTGTCAAGTAAATAATTTACACTAATTACCTCAACATATAGGAGATAACATGTCTTTGTTATTAATTATCATCATTAATCTTAATCCAGTGCTTTAAATCTTAAATTTTAGTGATTTTAATTGTTATCTGCATACATTAGAATAGTTAAATTGCTAGCATTTCTTACTTCAACTAAACACTAACAACTGTTAATGATGATACTGAAAAACCAGCAAGCAAAAACAACACTGAATGAATTTCTATTAACATAAACAAATTATATTAGGTTGTTCGGAAAGTAAGTTTGTTTTTTTCCACGGAAAAAAACAAACTTACTTTCCGAACAACCCAACAGATTAATAAATCTTTAAATTATGTTATACAGTATATTTTTAATTGTTTTAGCATGTTCTTTTAATCTCAGTCAACAAAACCAGAATTTCCACTAACTGTAGTCTTATTTACTTACACTGCTTATTGTTATCAGTTTAGGCAAGTCTTGAAATGATTACAATATGTAGATTCTTTTATATTTAAAATTGAAATTCTATTTACTAAAATAAAAAGTTATTTAACTACAGAAAAAAAATCTGAAATAATTTCATTGTTTTTGACAGAAAAATATATTAACAACAGTATCTGTTTAATGTAACAAAATGTTATCTATTTTATTTGTTTATAATTTTTTAAAAATATTTCACATATAATTAAATAGAGAAAATTCCTCATGAATCTTTAATTTTTGTTTAAGTAATACTATATTTTATATTAGGCATGTATCGAAAGTCAAGCTGTGGTCTATTAACTTTCAGATATTTGAATTAACACCAGTAGCCAAATATGTAAGAGATATTTCCATAAATTGGCCAATTTGTGACATGTGGTAGCACAAGCATTTTTGTTTTCATTCCCACAGGTGATAGAAAAATGCATGCTGCCATCATTTTGGTTTGTATATGTGCCATTATTGATCTTCTTCCCAAAGAAAAAAATCATTAATTTCTCCCATTATGAGCAATTATTGAAGAAACTGCAATAAATTTCTACATAAACATACTGTCATCTTGCAATGGGACAATTGAAAAAATGGGCTGAGAAGTGTTGTCTCATTCTCTGTAAGGCCCAACGTCACCCTGTCAGATTTCTATCTGTTTGGTCCACTCAAAGATAGTCTGCAAGATTTGCAGTTTAGTGATGACAGACTGTCAAGACAGTTTGCCCTTCAAACTTACACATCGATGGCATCAAAACATAATTTATGGTCTGATCTAGCAATTATGTCAAAAAGTAAAATTATGTATCACGTATTTATTACCACAAATCGCATTAAATTTGGTATTATACAATTCACATAATTTAACTTGGCTTAAGACTTTTGCTTTGTTTAAATACAATAAATCCTTCATATTTACAAAAATTACAGAATTTAATTTTTGGGATAAATAAAAATTAGGAGAATATTTCAATTTTCTCTTAATATATTTACAGCCATATTCAGATCCAAGAATCAAGCTCAAATCAGAAGTTAAACCAATAGGAGTTCACATACTAAAAGTAAAGTGAATGTTAATTGGTTAACTTCTAACTCTTGATTGAACACAGTCATCAGAGTTTAATGTCTTGTGTTCACATTCAAGACATATTCTCTAATAACATTTCTCAATTATCGTTGAAGAAGTATTAGATAATCAACTGTTTATTGTTTGAATTTGATTGACTAAATTACAAATTTTAATCATCAGAATAACAGTAATTGCATCCATAGTTTCTTATTTTAGATTAATTTTAATTCAATTAAGTATTGAAAAATAAGCTTTCAGTATTTGTAAATAGAAATTTATTAGTTTGTTGCTGTGACACAATAAAATGTGATAAATTTAAACACTTGGTGTTCTTTCATCTTTACTTAGTTGATCAACTAAATAAAGATGAAAGAATGCCAAGTGTTTAAATTTGTCACACTTCATTGTGTCTGAGCAACAAAGAAATTAAAAAGCACGGTTTCAAGTTATAAAAGAAATTTATTAAACAATAAATTTAATAGCTCATTAATTGAAATTAAATTTCAAAACTTCTTTTTCAAGAACATAAATGTACATTAGTGCAATTTCCACTAGAAGTTAAGCTACTATGCATATGTAGCTAGAACTATTTCTAAGATTATCAGCACAAAACCTTTCTCACACCAGTTAATAAGGCTAGAATTTAGTGAGAAAGGTTTTGTGCTGATAATCTTGAAGTTAAGCTATTCATATAATAGGTATTGAAAGCACACACTTGGACAGATGGAGAGGACAGAGAAAAAATCTGTCTACATTATAACAGAAATTTCAAGAAAATTGTCACATCGTAACCCTGTCATTAAGCCAAGTAAAGAAAAATTTCATTTATCATCTAATGAAGTTAGAATTTAATTTAATTTTTATTTTTTTATTTCATTTGTAATTTGTTCAAAGTACTTCAAAGAATTTGATTTTAACTAATCCATTATTTTATAATTCTTGTCTAGAATTGTGCATAAATTTATTTGAAATTTTGTGAAATAACCAAAGAGAATGAAATTTGAATAGATTAAAACAATAATATGAATGCAAATGATAAGTTGATAACAACTGTATATATATGCAAATAATGTATTAATAATGGCAAATAATGCAATTTTCTGTACCTTAGTACAGAAAATTGGATATATTGCCATTGTTAAAAAATAAAAAGATTAAAAACAATCTAACATGGTCTTATGTATACCCATATATACATACAAGCACATACAATCTAGCATAGTATTGGTTATAATTGTAAATAATCAAATTTGAATTTATATATTGAAAATTGATTATTCACCATTATTTTGATTACTATGAATAAAAGAATTTACACACTAAATTCATTTATTCATAATATGGAGTTTTTATTACAAAATTAAAAAGATACATATCAAAAAACTGAAATAAATTACTATAAAATTACAAAAGTTTATCTAATATTCATAGTTTATCTAATTTTTACAGAAATAAATGAAATTAATCAGCAAAAAAATACTATATTATTATAGTAAAAATTATAAATAGATAAAAATATGTCATGAAATATAAAATTTATTAGGTTATTAGATAGGGTGTTGACCAATTACACCAAAGAACACAATTAAAACTAAAAGAAACAATTATAATGAATAGATTAGCATTCCTTCATCGTTAATTATTATATCTTAATAAATATATTTAAAGAAAATTGTTAATAAAATAAATCAAGACCATCTTTATCAAATCAAAAAATAAGTAATTGGCATTAATTTGAAAATACAAAATAAAATTTGAAAATACAAAACAATAATAGAGGGAAAAAAAAATTAATGGTTAATTGCATAACAGTTTACAATAAACTTTTATGATTTAATCAAACATATTCTGTTTTAATTAAAATTGGTTTGATGTGCACATATTTTTCTATCATTTTTTAATTGGTAAATTTAATTTTAAAAATCATATTATTGGGTTATCAGGTTTACAGAATAACTATTAAATACATGGGTATACAGAATCGTTTTTTGATGAATTACCCAAATCTAAGATGTTGCGCTATGAAGTTCTGATGTTCCACTTGTACTGACTCCAATAAGTAATCACTATGTAACCTGTGTATACATTTTTTTTAATCAATTGTATAATTTAATAAAAAAATGTATCCATATAAAATATGAGTACCAATAAATTTAATAATTTGTACATTATTGTCCTAATTTATAATTTAATTTTTCTTGAACATAGAGTTTTAAAACAAAAACTTAAATAACACATTAATTCATTAAAATTCTTGTCATAATTTATATTTACAAATTTATACACTGTATACAATTTATAAAACTAAGTAACATACTAATAAGTTTACAAAGTCTCTATTGTTCAAAAGCTTATTTCTAATATTTGACATCATAATATACTTGATATATGAATTTATAGCTATCAATTAATAACAAATAAAGTTTTAAAGATAGAAAAGGAATGGGTAAGTTTTAACAAGTACTCTTTTAATTTACATAGCTTTGAATCATTTCAGAAGTTGATATTTCTTTTATAAATTCTAGAATTTAATATTTAAATTCATTACATTTATTGTTAAGTTAAGATGAAACATTTCAAAGTGATTAAAATTACAATCCTGATATATAATCTTCAAATGCTACCATCAAAAAGATGAGAAAAAAGAAAGATAAAAGTTTCATTGAATGATTTCAGATGAAAATTACATCTCTGACAGTCATTGTTAATACTATTATATCAAAAATATTTTAAAGAATTACATTAATTATTACTTTGATTTTATGCTTTCTTAATAATCATTGTCTTTTTTAGTAATTCTTTATTTTATGCCTTAATACCACCAAAATGAAACAATGAAATAATCTGAAATATTCAAAATATAACTATGCAGGTGCTCCTCTACTTATGAACAGGTTAGGTTACCAAGTTTTGTCGTAAGTTAAAAACTAACCTAGAAAGTACATCTGTACACAGAATAACCATGTTTTGTTAGTGTTCAACCCTTTGATGTACTTAATAAAATATCTTACACTCATTTATCTGTTTGCTACTAGTTAGTAGCCAGTGTTTCAAATGCAGTTTTTCACCTAATGCACTCAGTTTTATAATGTCCAGTTTAGTTTCCACAGGCATCACTTCTTGCATTTACCTCCACTGCTAAATTTACTATTATGTTTTGAATGCATTTTTGAAGCATTAATCATAAAAGTTTAGAAAAATTGCAAGCAACATCAAAAAATGACATTACTCCAACATTACTGAATCTGAAGCTATCTCGCAAGTGGCAATGGAACCTTGAAATTAGCAAGAAAACAAAAAATGATGATATGTGATAGATAAGCCCACCTCATTAAAAATTTATTTATTACCAGACAAACTTACATCAATGCCACTTCACAAGAAGCAAGAAAACTTTCACAATCTGTGCAAACTTTAAATTTTAGACCTATGGTCAAATTATTCGTATGTAGGAAGCTCCTACAATTATAAAAAATTAAGTCTGATATAAAAACATACTACTTTCCTAAATTCAATATAAACTAATAATAATCAATTTTATATCTTGTATTTTTACTGTAAGGACAGAATTTATCCATTCATATTTCAAGTCTGTTTCCAAGTCACATATACAAATAAATTTTAGCAAAATTACAAATACATTTTATCTGAAAGAAAACTCTTTCAATAGTTAAAGGTTTAAGCATTTTCAGAAAACAATATACTTCATTGAAGATATAGTTTTTAAAAAATAGTTGACATTTATATAAAATTAAAATTTATAAGAATCAATTTTATTCAGAGATTTTATGACTGATTCCAATTTATTGCTGACCTATAAGAATCTGTTAAGACATTAATCTATTAGCTTTAAAGAGAATTTGTATATACATAATGTTTCCAAATATAAATCATCATCTTTTGTTAGAAGCAATTAGTTCCTGAGAGGGTATGTGGAAGGAACAGGATATCTAATTTAAAGCCTCCAAAGCATCCTTTCTCAAAATGGGAAATAATGCCCCCTTGTGGGCACTGGAGGCTTTCAGGGGGGCAGTAGAAGGCTCAGTGATTAAATATGAGTTTTATTTCTTCTCATTGAAACATTCTTTGATCTCAGAAATAGGATATGGGTCACACCCTATCTATCCATATGATAATGCATGTTTAAACATTATATTTGCAATAACTGTTTTTAAGATACACAACAGATGGTAATGAAAAAAGGTATGTTAAAAAATATGGGGGCACTAGATTTTTTTTTAATCTCAAAGCGGGCGGTGGTTGAAATAAGTTTGAGAACCTGTGCTCCAGAGAGTCCATATAAAGAATTATAAATCATTGCAATCCCTACAAGTTTCACTGAATTTTCATAATGTAATTATTTGAAAAGGATAGTACATGTATTGCAAATATCTAAATATATTTAAAAATTATTGAAATACTACTTACAAATATTGATCCGGCAATAAAAGTTAATCCACCTGGAACAACTTTTCCTGCAATTACTATGCCCCAAACAAAACAAGCACCAATATATCCATCAATAATCTCACCAATGAACCAAGGACCTATAAAAAAATTAAATATTTCAATAAAAAATGAATAATATGTAATAATAATTACTAATAATGCTTTTGTACTATTCTACTTCAAAAAGAAAAACTAGAATTTATCTCACAAGATTATAAATTATTAAAATTAATAATTAAGTACTTCAACATTTATAAAGGCTCACCTACCACATGGCTCAGGGCCATGTGGTAGATTTTCTCAGTATGATGCAAGTCTTCAAAATGTCACCCCTTAAATCTTTTTTCTTTAAAATAACTTTTGATTGTGATTTTAAAAAAACCACACAAAATGTACGAATACTATTTTTATTTTGAAAATATAAACTACTATAAAATATTGATATCAACTATCAACTACAGCAATCTACTACAGTTTTACTCTTCTAACTTTAACTGTAGCAAATTCGTTAATTAGGGATGTGTAGTTTAGAGTGGCAGCTAATGTAGATTCAATAGAAATAAATGATAGANAATCATTGCAATCCCTACAAGTTTCACTGAATTTTCATAATGTAATTATTTGAAAAGGATAGTACATGTATTGCAAATATCTAAATATATTTAAAAATTATTGAAATACTACTTACAAATATTGATCCGGCAATAAAAGTTAATCCACCTGGAACAACTTTTCCTGCAATTACTATGCCCCAAACAAAACAAGCACCAATATATCCATCAATAATCTCACCAATGAACCAAGGACCTATAAAAAAATTAAATATTTCAATAAAAAATGAATAATATGTAATAATAATTACTAATAATGCTTTTGTACTATTCTACTTCAAAAAGAAAAACTAGAATTTATCTCACAAGATTATAAATTATTAAAATTAATAATTAAGTACTTCAACATTTATAAAGGCTCACCTACCACATGGCTCAGGGCCATGTGGTAGATTTTCTCAGTATGATGCAAGTCTTCAAAATGTCACCCCTTAAATCTTTTTTCTTTAAAATAACTTTTGATTGTGATTTTAAAAAAACCGCACAAAATGTACGAATACTATTTTTATTTTGAAAATATAAACTACTATAAAATATTGATATCAACTATCAACTACAGCAATCTTCAACATTTATAAAGGCTCACCTACCACATGGCTCAGGGCCATGTGGTAGATTTTCTCAGTATGATGCAAGTCTTCAAAATGTCACCCCTTAAATCTTTTTTCTTTAAAATAACTTTTGATTGTGATTTTAAAAAAACCGCACAAAATGTACGAATACTATTTTTATTTTGAAAATATAAACTACTATAAAATATTGATATCAACTATCAACTACAGCAATCTACTACAGTTTTACTCTTCTAACTTTAACTGTAGCAAATTCGTTAATTAGGGATGTGTAGTTTAGAGTGGCAGCTAATGTAGATTCAATAGAAATAAATTTAAGTTTTGTTTGGCGTATTGAACTTCTTAAGTAGTGTTTTATTAATTTTAATTTGGAAAAACTTCTTTCCCCACTAGCTACAGAGACAGGGAGTGTTAATAAAATTCTCAGAGCTACAACAGTATTCAGATACAAAGTAATTAAGTTATTTTGGCACAAATTATTTAAAACATCCAAAGGTTTCACAGAATATGCTAGCATTTGGGATATATCACGCAATTCTTCTTGAAGATCATTTGCATTTATATCTGATTCATTTTCGACCGAAAGTATTTACTGGAGACTGGTACAATAATTTTCTAGCATTTTTTCATCTAAATCCTTGAGTTTTAAAATGTCATATAAAAACTGAAAATTTTTGCTACGGGTTTCCAGAAGCGTGAGTCGTTCATTCAGAGAATTAACAGTAATGTCCAGAATATAATTGAAAAAATTTATTTTAAATTTACTCTCTTCTGTTAAGGATTCATCGAAAGCTTCTTATTCTTCAATTCTTCAGAGTCAAATTGATGCTTTTTCCTTTTGGCTTCCTTCCTTCAGTTTCGGTAGGAAATTCTGTATTGCATTCAAGATTCTCTGCAATCTCATTAGCTGCAATTTTCATCTGATCATATCCAGATTGTCTATAACTTTTCACTTTTTGTATGGTTTCTGATAACATCCTTACACAATCTGACAAATTTATAATTACAGATCACAACAGCTTCGAGACTAAATTTATTTTAAATAAAATACCATGCAAAAATATATGCATATAAACTTGTAATTTTTAATATTTTTTGCTAATCCTCTTGCTTTAACTTTAGTTTCCGCATCTCTGTTGACATCTTCTATTATTCGGAATAATGCATCATAGATTTCACAAAGTTGAAATCGCTGCTTGACCACCTAGTAGCACTCAGTGGTTTTAGAGTTAATTGTGAAACATATTTTTTTAGCACTTTCCAATGCTTTGTAGAACCAGAAAAAAGTGTAAAGTTCTTGTACAATAGAAAAAAGTTATTGTTTTTGTAGAAGAAGACAATGCATCATTTACAACTAAGTTTAAAGAATGACATGCACAGGGCACATAAAACGCCCTTGGATATTTTTCAAGTACAGTAATACCCCAAACTTACGCAATAGATGGGACCGAGCAATAACCACATAAGTCGGGGTATAATTTCACATATACAAATAATTTTTAATTTGGGCCGGAGACTAAAGAAAACAATAATTTAGAAAAAAATGTTTAATAAAATCTTAGATAATACATATGTATAACAAATTATATTATTATACAATTTTTCACATTTACTTGATTATTACACCATAATTTTAACATTGTTTCCATCTCAGCGATAATACCGTGACGTTTACGAATGATGCTTGAATTTAAAGATTGAGCATTTTTTACAGCTTTGAGAATTTTTTTCTTTACCTTTTATAATTGTTCTGACCGTCGATTCTGGTAGATCAAACTTCTTTGCCAATTCACAAATTTTCTTTTTTGTATTTTGTATCAAAGTCTTTAATAATGGGTACGTTCGTAAAGTCAAACGAAATAAGAATAATGATGACGCCATTCTCGTTTACCTCGTTCAACTTTACGAATGTACCCAATGTTAACTTTACATTCCAAAGATAAAGTTTTCCTTTTCTTGTTTGATGCAGAAGAATCAGTTCTACTTCTTTTGGATGACATAGTAGAGTATCTCAAGTCTCCGTAGATATAACAAACACAGAAATAAATAACACAAAATAAATTTTAGCTATATGTCGATTCCACGCGGCAAATCTGAACATGTAAGCTGAACAATAGTGCGGGGGAATGAGTAGTCAAGAGTTGCATGACGCTCAAACAAAAGACGAATTGACGAGATTTGAAAATTGCATAATTCTGAGTTCGCGTAAGTCGAGGTAACATAAGTCGAGGTATTACTGTATTTTATTTTGTACTGTACACCCTTTCTTACTCCTTTCATATTAGCTCCGTTGTCATAGCCTTGTCCTCTAAGCCACTTTAACTCGAAACCTAACTTTTCCAAATGTGTCAGAATAAGTTCTGTCAAACCCTCTCCAGTTGAATGACAAGCTTCAAAATAACCAATAAAGAATTTTTTGATTTCATATTTATTCTGAATGGAGTTAAGAGTGACAACTCTTATTGTTAATGAGAGCTGTTCAATATGACTTATGTCTGGGGTAGAATTGGCGATTATCGAAAAATATTTAGCATTTTTGTTATTTCGACAATTTTGCTTAAAAGTTCATTTTCCATCAAATTTATCAATTCATCTTGTATATTATTGCTTAGATAAGTCACAGACCATTTATCAGACTCATGTTGAACTATCGTTATTTATCTACCCTATTAAAATAGGGTAGATAAATAACGATAGAAACGAGTTGCAAAGCTAGTAAGATTTGTAGATAACAGAATATAATATATACGTGGTATGATCCAAAAGTTCAGGGACTGCAGTAATGTATGACAACAAAAGCATGTATTTGAAGTTACAGCGTATGAAATCGATTCTATCAAACCATTCCTACGTGTTCAGGTTGGTTTCGCCCATGTCATGTGATTAAACTGCAAGCACTGTTGTTTTCTTCCAGAGATAGTTACCTTTGTTTTGCGACGTAATAAAAATGGAGTTTCAAGAACAGCGATGCAACATTAAATTTTGTCGGCGTTTAGGTAAAACACCTACAGAGACTTTAAAATTGCTAAAAAAGGTGTATGATGATTTTACCATGGCGAAATCAAAGGGGTACAAATGGCATTGGCATTTTAAAGAGGGCCGAGAATCCATCACAGACGATGAACGCTCTAGCCGACCTTCGACTTCACGGAACAAGAAAAATGTTGAGTTGGTCTCTCAATGTGTTCGCAAAAATTGCTACGGCTACTCACTTATCAAAGACTAGTTGCCAGCATATTTTAACGAAAGATCTTAACATGCACCAAGCAAAGGGAAAGTCATAATGGAGGTGTTTTTTGATTCTCAAGGAATTGTTCATTCAGAATTTATTCCCAGAGGCAGAACAGTAAACAAGGAGCATTATCTAGACATTTTATGTCCTTTGAGGGAATCCATTCACCGTAAATGGCCACAGAACTGGCAAAGTGGAGACTCGTACCTTCTGCATGACAATGCACCTGCACATTGGTCCCAAATGGTCACACACAGTTTCTCACCAAAACTCAAATTAATGTGCTTCCACACCCTGCCTATTCACTGGACTTAGCCCTGTGTGATTTTTATTTGTTTCCATCAATGAAAAAGCATTGGCAGAGACGCCATTTTGTGTCATCAGATGAGGTGAGAGCAGCATCGCAGGAGGCCTTACGAGAGGTTTCAAAAAATGTCTTCCAGCAGTGCTTCCAGAAGTTATACAAGTGCTAGCAAAAGTGTATTGTTGCCCAAGGTGATTACTTTGAAGGTGGTTGTGCATCGGCAATATAAACTTTTTAAGGTAAGAAATTTTAAGCAAAGTCCCTAAACTATTATACTACAAATACAGTCCACAGACAGTATTGGAAAACTACACGCACAAAATTTACTACGACAGAACCATAATCACAGATAAAACAATTTATCACAACAGACCAGACATCACACTCATTGACAAACACAATAAAATCACATACATTATAGACATAGCCATTCCAAACACTCACAATGTACAAAACACATGCACTGAAAAAATTAGCAAGTACACAGAACTAGCCCAGGAAATAAAGCATCTGTGGAGGATGGATAGGGTGCTTATTGTATCTGTCGTTCTCTCCTATACAGGTGTGATACCACACACACTACACAAAAGCCTGGGAACATTACAATTGAGTAGAAATACATACATCACACTACAGAAGGCCATTATATTGAATACATGTCACATTGTTAGGAAATTCCTGAATACAGACACACACACACTGACACACTTATTTAATTTTAGTTTTGTTTTGGTTGCTATGCCTTGACTTTGGTCTGGCATAGTACACAGCCACCGGTGTGAACCGAGTATAACACACAAAACCCAACATAATAATAATAATAATCACAGAGCCCAAATGGTTAGGAGTTGAAAGTTGAAATTTGGTACACAGTTAGGGTATGTCATGAGAACGTACACTAAGAAGGGATTTTTCAAAATTCCCACTGCGGGGGAAAGGGAGAAAGTTAAGGATTATCTTAAAGTACTCGGCTTTACTGTACTATTTTAGATGAAGTTTTTTGCGTTTTTGCAGAAAATCAAGCATATTTTCAGACCATGTAAAAATTCTCTAATTAATCTCGGAAGAGGGAGACCTAATTCTTGCAC